CAAGGGTTCATGAGGGAGAGGCAAAATGAGGAGCTGATACCAAGGGCTCAAGTAGAAAGAAAATGTTTTAAGAATGATGTACAAATATGCTTGACACAATGGATGGATGGAGGGATGGATAGATTGTGATCAGAGTTGTACGAGCCCCCCAAAAATGATTGAAAATACCATTGCTTGGGTCAGGCACACCTTAGTTTTCAAGGTGACATCTCTGCTCTTCAACAATTCACCGAGATCTTTTGCGGATTTGTCCAATGCAAATTTTTGACTGCTGCTTCTGTGAACATTGCTTGTGGAGCCTTACTCTTAGCTTCTGAAAATTCAGGAGCCATCAGAAGCAAAGACTTAGAATCCCTAGGCCTACAACGAGCCAGGCTCAGTTGTAGTCTACTCTATGCTTTGACCTTGTGTTCGTCAAGGACCTTAACTGCCACACCTTTGTTGAAATCCTCTGTGTTGTGCCTCATCCAGTTTTAAATGTAGAAAGCAAAAACTAAAAACAACAAAACAAAATGCTTTCCTTCAGTACTTACAAGTGAGCTATTCCACCATTTTATGCAAAGGAATGATCACTTAATTTGCCTCTGCTGTTGACCTTGCTACCTTTTGTGGGGTAACAGTCTTAGGCTTTTGGAACTGGTTTCTACACAGATGCACAGTTGCCCTGTGTGAGATATACCCAGGTTGGAAGCCAGCAGACAGTAGAGTATTTCTTTGCAGACAGATGGAGATTAGTTTTTAAGTTACTCAAAAGCATTGATTTTTTTTTTTTTGTAAATAGTGAGCAATTCATCCCATGGAATTTGAAAAAGTTTATTTCCATCAAATTGAAACAAGCACAGATGCCATTTAACTGGCTGTTGGCTCCAGAAAGGTGTCCACCTAAGAGAATCTGTGTCATGGCTATTTTCAAAAAGTGAGCGCCAGGAACACAGTTTCATGGAAATGGGCATCACTGACTGGTAGAGCAAAGGGCTGAAAATGAGAAAACTCATTCACTAGAAAACAGCTCTCAATGACGCGAAGGTGGCAAGCAGAACAGTAGACTAAAAGTAGAGTATCTCTAACTCCTAAGGCAGCAGTTTTCAACCTGTGGGTCACGACTCCTGTGGGGGTCGAGCGACCCTTTCACAGGGGCCTCTCGATTCATAACAGTAGCAAAATTACAGTGATGAAGTAGCAACGAAAATAATGTTATGGTTGGAGGGTCACCACACCATGAGGACCTGTATGAAAGGGTCGTGGCATGAGGAAGGTTGAGAACCACTGTCCTAAGGGGTAATGTCTCTATAGACGGTATGGCCAACAATTCATCTGGGACTCAGTGATGCTGCTGAGTCACCTTAGGTAGTGCAATGAGAAACATAGGCAGCAACAGGGTTACCAAATCTAGAATGAATGCCTCCTAGAAGGAGTCAAGAGACCATAGCGTCCCCACCCAGAGGTGGGTCCCACTACCCATGGGCTCCACTCAAGGCTAACTCTACACATCCACCTCCGCTCATCTGAAACTCTAGGAACCCCACCACTGGCTGAAACTTGACCAGGGATAGAAAGTTCATGCTCACTGCTCGCCAGTGCCCTCTGCTGATAACCTCAAGCACCAGGAACTCACATGTGATGGCCAAAGTCGCCAAAGAATCCAAACTAGATTGACTTCTTGAACTGAGATGTTCCTCAGACTTTTCTACAGATGTCTGCAACTAAGAAGCCAAAAATGAAAAAAAATTCAGATTGTTACCATAAATTCTTCACTTGGAGAACTCCTTTAATGATTTTTAAACAAGTAATTCAATTTGCTATTCTACACGAACTAAAGTCAACACAATATAATTATTAAACTTCCAAATGTTCTAGCTCTTTGAAATGAAAAGTACTCACCTTGTGAATACTTTCTTTGACAAGGGACATAAAGCTTCCTGCAGTCTCACTAGGAGAGAAAAAAAAAAGAAACAAAATACATAAAATACTGAGATAATCTATAGCAAGACTGACTCCGTGAACAAGGCATCAGAACGGAGCTCGGTCAGAGTTGGAGAGCCCCTGAGAAATGTCTGTGCTCAGCTAGTGTAAAAGGAGGGGCTAGAATTCTCATGATCATTTCCAAGACAAAGCTTTCTTTTAAAATCCACTCTATTAATCTTGTTGTTATTGGGAGCTGACTCAGCAACCCCAGTGACAGAGTAGAACTGCCCTATAGATTCATATTCTTAAAATTATAGTATTTTATTGTGTTTCAGGGGAATGTTTACACAGATTCCCATTGGATAATTTCTATATAAATTATTTTAGAATGGTTGTATTTTTTCACAATGTGCTAGTATTCTTTGTATGTTTCAGTTATTACATTTCCAGTACTCCAATGTTCCTGTCCTTTTATCTTCTCATCTTTGCTTTGGAGTACATTTTGAACTTTTTGACCCATTAAAAATTAATTAGGATTTAATACATATATCATATCATTCCACATTTCAATCATGTCAAGTAAAATTGTACAATTGCTACCACAGTTTTCAAACATTCTTTTCCCACATGGACTCCCTGACATCATTTCCATTTTACCCCCACCTTGCTGTCCCTATAGGCTCATCAATCCTGGGTTTCATATTCCGAAAAATAGAAAAGCATAGAACACAGCTTCAAGAGGGTGACCTCCAATGGCACTGTATCTATGAGATTCACTCGAATATGAACAAACAAAACAATACAAACTAAATACAGAACAATTTGGAAACCAGATCAGGTCCAGCCTGCATCACAGGGGATCTACTGACAAAGTTTTGACTATTCAAGTCAGATTCATGGCTTTGACCTCCTGTACTCCTCTTCCAAGCACTCTGCTTAGCGCTCCCTCAGTTGTAGATAGGGGGAGTTCTCCAGAGGCTTATTTCCTATGTACAGTAGTTCCACAAATGAATCTTGGGCTCCCACTGTCATCCATCGCCTTCTGCACACCAGAGTCTCACCAATTTAGGCTCTGATACTAATCCCTCCTTCGACTTCAGATTATATGGATTATGGTTCTTCAGTGACCAATGATGCTGTGCTTCTTCCATGTGGCTTTAGTGTACATCTCGCTCAGATGGCTGCTTGTTTGGAGACAAACCTTTAAGACCCCAGGTGCTATTTTACCTGATAGCCGGCACCACCTAAATTCTTCGCCACATTTTGCTATAGCACCCATATCTTCTGTGTTCCCTTCCTAAGGGCAAGTATTGAGCAGGGCCATGATGTGAAACTAATTGTTCTTCAGTTGGAGCTAGGATTTAGTGCAAGCCCATAACCCATTTCTGGATCTATGCTTTTTTTCCCTTTCCTTTTCTTTTAATTTGTTGTACTTGGGAGTTAATACGTCATAGTTCAAATGTTGACCTTTTGATATCAAATAGATTTTTAATAGAAAGCTGTATTTATGGTGAATAACCTTAATTGTGTGTAACATTTTTTTATTTTTCTAAAGGGAGATCTCAGGGGATAGTTTTGGTTCAAGGTTTAAAGAGTATTTCAGGATGACAGTCTCAGGGAGTCTTCTCATCTCAACTAGTCCCACAAGTTTATGAGTTTTATTCTATATTTTTCTCTCATTCTACTCAAGACCACTTATTGTGACTCATAATGGTCAGCAGTGGCAGCTGGGCACCATCTGCTTCTTCTGATCTCTTGATGGATAAGGCCATAACTTGTGCAGGGTATTAACCTTACAGATTTGTTCTCTCTCTGAGATTTCTACTTCTTTTTTATTATTTTGCGCTTCATGAGTAGAAATCAATGGTTGATTCTTAGATGTCCATTTGCATACTTTTAAGACCCCAGACATTACTCACTTCACTGGGATACAGAACATAAAACTTTGTGAACTATATTAGGCTGATTTGGCTGAGATGTCCCATGAGACTAAGGTACTAAGCCTTCAAACCATAAAACCAATCTTTTGAGTGGTTATGTCTCAGATACATATGTAATTGTGCCTTCCATGTACCCACACATACAACTGTATTTATGTGTACTTATAGACACTTTTACTTGTGCATACAGATGAGAGTCAGACAAAGAGTGTTGCTATTAGGGTTCCAGTTGATGCATGCATGAGTTTATTGCAAACTCAGTGTGTTTAAACATGTGGATGACTGCAGGCAGGTTCTCTCCATAATGCACTTGTCTTTGTCTCATTAGAGTGCCTTCAAAGAAAAAGGTCCAATTTAAAACAGTGGCTACAGTGGCTTCTGAGCTGATCTGCTGGGCCAGTTAAATTCAAGGCAGAGAAGTCATCTCAGAAGGTTATGGTGACTGTGTTTTACGGATTTCAAATAGGTAATTTGATGGATTTTCTTGAAAGACGTAACACCAAGAAAACTGAAAACAGCATTGGTGATAAAAAGGCTAGGGAAATTGTGCCAAGAAATTTTTTCCCAACGTAATAATGCACCTGCTTATTCTCCCAAGGGAGCAAGGACTGCCCTAATTTTGTTGGGAAACCTTACCCTATCCACCCCACAGCGTATATTTTGCCCCATTCACACTTGTTTTTATCCCCAAACTCAAAGAGCATGTAAAAGGAACACAATTTGAGTCCTTTCAGGATACCCAGACTGCCATTTTCACACACTGTAAATCAAATAGCTCGTGACTTTCCAGGAAAGGGTTTGAGAGATGAAAACACTGCCTTCAGAAGTGTATAGACCTCAATGGCAGCTAAGTCAAGAAGTAATAGCTTCATATTTTGTTTAATAAAAGTTTCTATGATTTTGTAGCAATACTTTGTGACCTACCCTCATATGTATACACATACCCTCATATGTATACCTGTATAATTATCTGCCTATACACATACAAGGAGCTCTGGTGAGCACTGGTAAGCACTGGGTTGCTAACTGCAAGGTTAGCAGTTCAAACCTACCAGTCTTCTCTATGAGAGAAAGATGAGGTTAACCCATAAAGATTTACAGCCTCAGAAACCCTATATAGGGTCAATGAGTCAGAATAAACTCGATGGCAGTGGGTTTTACACATACATATGTGACCATACACTCGTTTTTTGGGTATACAGTAGTTGGTGTTGTTGCCAAATTATGTCACATTTTCAGTACAAGCATCCTTCTCAAAAACATCAATTACTGAGGACCTAATGTCGGGGGTTTAAATGGAGAGAAAATGTTTTGAGAAACGATGTACAAATGCGCTTTACACAATTGATGTGTGTATGGATTGGGATAACAGTTGTATGAGCCCCTAATAAAATGTTAAAAAAGAAAAAGAAAAAAAAACAACATCAATTACTTGAGTCAAGTTGTGCTCACTACACCCATGTTCATTGCCACATTTCCCAATCACCAAAAATAACAAGTATTTATAACTTAGAGCTCCTCCCACCTCATCCTCCCACCTGTAGCTACTAATAAGCACTGGGATGTATGTATGTATCTATTTATCCATCTATCTTTCTTATGTGGTTGGCTTATTTCACTTAGCATTATGCCCTCCTGGTCCACTCATATAGATATGTTACAAGGACTCACCACTGTGTTTTATGATTACAGAGAGTGTCATATAGGATTCCATTATATGTACCACATTTTTGAAGTCATTAGATATTATTTTACATTTTATTGGGAGCTCTTACAGATATTCTAACAATCCATAGTTCAATTAGATGTACCACATTTTATTCATCCATTTATCTGTTGATCTGATAGACACTGGGGGTTATTTCTTTTCTTTTGCTGTTGTGAATAATGTTGCAGAGAACATAGTTGTGCATCCCATAGGGTTCCTGGTTGCATCTTTACAGGCACAGATAGCCAGGCCTTTCATCCAGGAAGCTTGACACAACGGATGCATGTATGGATTGTGATAAGAGCTGTAAGAACCCCCAATAAAAGTATTTAATAAAAAAAATAAAATAAAATATCACAGATTACATTTCCTTACTCTCTAAACTATGGATGTCAATATCAAGATTTGAATCCCAGTAATACAGCTCTTCAGGTTGTTGTCTCTAGGTGCCATCAAGTCTGCCCCTGAGTCATGGTGGTCCTAGGTGTACAGAGCAGCCTGCTCCCTATGATCTTCTCTGCTGTCATCGTTATAAAAGCAGACCACCAGGCTGTTCCATCCAAGGAGCCAGTGGCACCAGCCCTCAGGTTAGCAGCTGATCAGGAAATGCTTGCATCACTCAGCCTCCTTCAGGTTTCATACCAGGTCTTTCTGCTGGTCTACCATATCAACTTTATAAAGAGAATTTATTATCACTGTTAAGGAATCTATAAATCACATGCTTGATACAAAGAAACTAGGATATCACTTGAGAACAATATAAAAGATGGAAATAGTTAATGAGCTAATCATGCTAAAAACAGAATGTGACAAAAGCAGAAAATAAGAGTATAATTTAAAGGCAGCAGAAAAATTTAAATGCAATAGAATTGAGGTGGTAAAATAGATGAGAGGTAAGAAAAAAACAAAAACATTAGAGGATCAATTCAGCAGCTCCACAACACACCCAGAAGATAGGTTATCCCAAAAGAGAGAAGAGTGAAAGGAGAAAGGATGCTTCCAAGGGAAAACCATTTTTAAGTATCCAAGAAGAGAGGACACAAGTTTACAGACAGAAAGGAACTACCCAATGCTCAGGCACTATGACACGCTACATCAAAGCATGTCGCTGTAAGAACTCGCATCAAAAAAAATCCTAAAGTCTTGCAAACAGAAAAAAAAAAGTGATCTTCAAGGGATCAGAAATTAGAGCAGTACCAGACCTCTTAAAAGCAACTTAAGAAGCAACAAGACAGTAGAGCAATGCCTTCAGAAATTTTGAGGAAAAATAATGTTGAATGAACTCTAATTTACAGTTGTGTGAGGGGGGAATAGATAATTTCCAGCATATATCACTACCACCAGTTAGTTTACAGGGAGTGGATTCCAACCCACAGA